AGCTCTATTGTTGGAAAAACAATCTCCATCGTCCATTTACAGGTATACCCCTTGACGGAATCATACATATACTAAATCTACCTTGACAGGAGCTTCGGTCTATCTGTCCAACTTAATATATAGCCATTCCCCTCCCACAGGAGCCCTGTACAGCCTCTCTGTAAGCCGTGTGAACTTCACTTGTTTCATGCCCACTCCCAGACCCACCAAAACATCTTTAAGGGCAGGGATATTTGCGCCAGGTCTCAGGATCAATGAGTCTCCGGCGCCCCCATCACGGCTGACAAAAATGCTCAAAGGAGACAGGAGGAGTCTGACTGTCGGCGTATCCCGACTGTCAAATGCCCAGGAGATAGGAGTTCCCCCTTTATTGTCCTTTACAAATGGGTCAGCACCTTTTTTCAAAAGGAGATCGACTACTGCCGAGTAACCATTCTTTGCCGCCCAAGATAGAGGTGTTTGACCATCCTTATCCTTCGACTCCAGGTTGACGTTCTTCTCTAGGTGAAGTCTGACCACTTCGTCATGGCCTTCCGCTGCAGCCCAAGATAGTGACGACTTACCGTCGCGATCCACAATGCTTGGATCACCACAGTTGTCGAGAAGAAGGCTAACCATGGCCTTACATCCTTGCCCTGCGGCCCGTGACAGCGGCGTCCGATCGTGTTTATCCCTAGTATTTGGGTCTGCACCCTTCTCTAAAAGGAGCTTGGCACAAAGCTCATTGCCCCTTCTTATTGCCCATGACAATGGAGTTTCACCATTGGCATCCGCGGTGTTTGCTTGGCTGCTAGTTTCAATCAAGCCCTGCAAGACATCTTCCAAACCGAAGTATACCGCCAGGTGAGACCCCGTTATATGCAGAGGAGCAGAGGATGTGCACCAGAACTCTTCCTCTCTGATTGCCAACGCTTGGCCGCATGCAGCGGATTTTGTATCATCTCGCAGAAGGCTCAGGACCAGTTCATGGCTTCCTTGCCCTATATAGCAATGTGTTGCCCAGTATCGAGCTGAATATGTGTAGAGCGGATACTGTTTTAGAAATGCCTCGAAATCTCCCATAGGTGCAACGCGGGAGAATCCAAAAAGTTGCTCCATACTTAGGGTTTGTTGGAACTCAGTTTTGTAGATATCAAATGAGAGGTACGTGATGCAGGTTGCGGCTATTTTACTATGGGCGTCAGGGAACCAATCCATCCAGGTTTGCTCAAAGTATGTTTGCGCGGTGTGGTGTACTAGTCGAACGATGCCGCCTCGCGCATCAGTGGTGACCAGGCCTGCACATACAGAGATCATATCCTCGACTTCGGGAAAATTGTCCCGATCGAGGTACGTTTCGCCGATTTCGACGGCAAGAGCATGTTGGAGCTGCAATACAGTCAACTGTTGTTTCGCACATACAACCCATGACAGGACTTGTTTAGCCAATTCAACCTGGTCGGTCACCTGTCCTTCGATCCGGCTCATCGCATTCCTATATGCCGAGCTAACAGCATTGGTTCCTGTGGGAAGTTGTTTCAGGGCGTTTCGGAGAGCCCTAGGCGACATTTTTCCGACCAATGAGTCGAGATGAAGTTGGGCTAGAAGAAACCTGGGCGTGCATTAGCATGGATTTTTCTGAGCTTCTATTGAAGTTACTGACATTCCATCCACAGCTTCTGTGATTTCTGTAACGATCTCATTCTGAAGTCCTGCATCTCGTGAAACAAACCTAGGAAGGCGCCCTAGGTGGTCCCTTAGATATCTCTGTACATCTTCACTTCGCGCCCTTATTTCTAGCGTAGGCATTCCCTTGAACCGGTCACTGACCTCTGGGATGGGTCTTGAAGTGGCCAAGAGACTTGCATGAGATTGGGCTTGAAGATTGAAGATAGTGGGCAGAATGCTGTCGCCCGACTCGATGGCGGATTGACATTCGTCCAGTGCATCGATGGCAATAAACAACTTCTTATACGCGCTAGCGATAGTGTGTAAGCATCTTGATATTTCCTCTGGCGGCGGCCGTGTCCCGTGTTTATAGTGATCGTCGTATAGGTCTTTCAAATCATTTGGTATAGATTGTTGTCTCTGTACCAACTGTTTCAACAGGCTAGAGAGCAACTGGTCCATGGTCCACTCATCCTTGAACTTGAAGTAGATAAACACAATGCCGATCTCTCTGTCATTTCCGTAGCGTTTGTAAAGTTCGTCTATGACCAAGGACATAAGGGTAGTTTTGCCCGCTCCAGGGATACCGGGGCAGAACAATGTCTGTTCTGGCTTCTCAAGCCATGCCCTGAAGTGGTTGGAGTCTATCAACCACTGCCCAGTCCCAGGTTGGCTTCGACTCAGATAATCACTCTGTTGCGCAGTATAGTTCCTCGGAGAGAGCCAGTCCAGAATCTCCTGGCGCTCCCTATCATCCTGGTGCTGTAATAGCCCAGCGACATTACCCCGGGCAATGCGTCCATTGAAGGCATTGAGGAGACTAATGTTACTGCTGATGCGGGCCCGGAGGTCTTGAATATCCTCTGGCTCCCATTTCAATCGTTTCCACACCCGTACAACTTTACGCAGACCGGTGGTGTGGTCAGATTCCAGCACCCTGTAGATGTTGATTTCCTCGTAAATCTCATCTAGGACGCAGCGGCAGCTATCTGCGATTGCTTGCAGTTCGGCCTTCTGGTTGTCGCTGAGTTCTTTGCCAGACAAGTCGACTTCGACATCTTGCAGTACGAACGAGAGGCTCCGGACTCTGTAGGATCCCGGTTAGTACCCATGATCCCTTTCAACGTGTTTCCACTACGGTGAGGGAACTGTACTCATCATTAATAGCCTTGAATTGGGATGGCGCATCAGCGAATTCTTTCCGGATTTTGTTGGCAAGTTCAATGACTGTAAGGAAGTCACCGATGCTGAACCCGAAACTCATTTCTGGGTGACAGTATGCGAGTATGTATTGGTGTTAGTGACGAGCTAGTCAGTTCTTATCGAGCTATGTTGGGGATGGCGCCGGATTTAAAGAGAAGCGCGAATGATGTCAGCCTTGTGAGGCTCTTGGTGGGGGTTAGGCTAAAAACAAGGAAGCCTTATTATGGGCGATAGTGTTCAGACTGACTAAGTTTGAAACAAAGATATAATATTTAAAAGGAGTTGGGATAAACTGATCACCATGGGAGCATCCTGCTTCCAGTGGACCTCTCCGCAGATCATCAATGAATTTACATGCATGTACCGCCCTCACATTCTGTCTGGTACTGCCCTCTCAGGAACATCAACCATCGCATAGTCTCCGCGTTCAGACAGTGTCTTCGAAGACTCAAGACATCTCTAGCGCTGCTGAACTCGCGTTCAATCCCGACCTCTGCCGAAGGGCTGGGTAGATAGTCGCGAGCAGCTTTTGCCATGAGTGGAAAATTGAACGCGTTAGCCTTCCACAATTTTAGGACCCATTCTGTGTCTGCATCGCCGATCATATGGTGGGACCAGTTGACCGGCGGGGAATCCAAATACTTATCAATATCCGACAGAGCGGCCTCTTTGGATGGCTGGACTTTGCGCAGAGTCCTCTACATTCTCTCCAGAATGTGCTCCATTGATTTCGGTGAACTCGAGAAGTTCATCTCGCTTGTCAAACTCGGGAGAGATCCAATGACCAATGATACCCATGATCGGAATCTGATTTTCCGACGTCCAAACGTCAAGCGACAAAGCCAGTGTCCGGCTACTCCTCGCAAGCTCCTCTTTCACGGAAGCCCTACTTGAATGGAATTCCTCCTTGATTCGGTTGAAGAGAGTATCAGCAGTCTTGATGGGCAACGTGACTCCCGTTGCTTCAATGAGTGCCCTGAAAGCCAGATGCTCTACCACTGTAAAAGGCTGTCTTGTTTGAATGACCCACCGAACTAGCATTTCTTCAACACCAGCCTTCTTTCTCGGGGACTCCAAGAACCGGTCGAGGCTTCCTTCAACCGCGGGCAAGAAGATGGAGTCGGCCCCAGACTTGATACGATGCTTGGTCTGGAGATGTACTCCTACCGACAAATTCGAAGTGGAACCATAGCGCGCCGAATCTCTGGAGGACCAGCTGCAATGTTTACAAAAGTGGTGGGCTTCTGCAGCGACTAGGTGACCAAAGGCGGGAGAACAAGTGGACGATGTGCCTGACTTGCTGGGATCACAAGCATGCAACAACCGTTGGAAGCTGGTGTTGTTACCTGAGGTATTAGCGAAGCGGGTCTCTTGGACCGAAATTTAAGGCCTTAAGGCAAATGAATTAGAACTTCTATCATACCAGCCCAACAAAGTAGGCGTTCATGATTGGCCCACATGCGGGGAAAATGCCACTTACTAGTATCAATTAGTACTACTACTACTTAGTAGTAGTAGTTACTACGGCAAATCGAGCTAACGGACAATGTAAAATATTACCAACTTTACAAATACCAACGCACTTTAAATTAACCAATTAGATCTATTTATTAGGCCCATCCTATATTTCAACCAATTATATACTCTAAATCAATTCTATACAAGCACTCCTACTACTACTCGTGGTATTACTGTAGCATTCATTATTCTCCCCTTACAAGTGCCGCTGCTTTACGAAGGCCTCACGTGATAACATACGGATCGCTCACGAATTGATCCGGGCAGGTCAGCTAACACTCCAGGACACACACCAGATAAATGCCCCCTGAACCGTGCACCGGGAGTCCTTACAAGAAAGCTGTTTGTTCTGTACCTATACTCCGTACTTAGTTTCGGAATAGATAAGAATCTTATCTACTATTTATCGAAGCAATCTTCAAATCAACGCTCCCCCACACCTCCCTCCTCCACCTACCTAAATACTTGGATTGATATCGGACAAGAAACTCAGTAACCGGAATACTTATGGAAACATGGAAATTATCGCACTGCAATACAGTGCCTGCTAGGTTATTAGCTATCCCGTCCTATACGCCTCAGGCATATTAATGTATTTTATTCGGGCTAGAAGTACCCATGTTCAACAGGATTCAGTGGCCATAACCTTGAACCCCTCTAGCGTCTCGTTCAATTCTATGCTCTTCCGCTTTCTGCCACATGGCCACTATTTTCGCACGTAGTTGTTGAGGTGTTTGCCCTGCAGCGTTTGGCTGGTTCATCATATTAACCTTGCCAGCTTCCTGTAGGGCTACCGTGATCTTGTCCAGCGCTGCCATCCTTTGAGCCAGTGTCACATTCTTCGTCCTTAAGTACGGACGTCTCATAAGTTTATGAAGAGGCGTATCTCCTTCTGAGTCTTGAATCGTTGCGTCCGCCCCGAGTTTAAGAAGATGCTGTAGTATCGGAATCTGTCGTAAACACATTGACATCGTGTGGAGAGCCGTGGCACCGGATTTATCGGTCTGGTGGATGTCGAGACCATGTGCAATCAATAAATCTATGACAGCTGTGTCAATTGGATCACAGTCTCGAGAGCATAGAGCTAATAAATGTAACGCTGTTTGCCCTTCATAGTTTGATATACTCGCATCGGCACCATTCTCACATAGGAATTGGATAATATCCTGTAGACCTTTTCTGTTAGTATACACATAGTTAATTATCACATAGTGCAAGGCTGTGGACCCTTGGTTATCCTGCATATTGATAGTGCTCGGATTGGCAGTCAATAATATTTTGAGGATACCAATATACCTAGGGAGGATTTCGTCTTCTCTGAAATGTCTCTCTTGTTCCCGCGTATCATCGCCTATAGCTGCCCAGTGCAATGGTAGCATTCCAAAACTATCACGAACCGATACCATGTCTGCAATTTTGGCATTACCCGGATGATCCAGCAACGCCCGGACCCCCTCTATATTCCAGTAGATGCTTCCATAGTGAAGTGCGGTGACATCCCGGAGATCAACATCAAACCCAAATCTACTGTCCGCATGCTCCTGTTTGGCATGAACATTGGCTCCTTGTTCAATGAGACGTTTCACTAGCGTGTAGCTAGCTCTAGAAATGGCCAGGCTGAGAACAGTGTCGCACGGTTGCGGTGGGAGATGAGCGTTATATTCGTTCTGGACCATAGTGACATCGTTGACTGAGGCACCCTTATCGAGAAGCATATACATCAATTCTTCGCTTCGGACTAGGCACTCTTTAATCCGGTCGCTGGTCACCTCTCCCGGCCATGTAAAAGACTCTGCCGCGCTCAGGATGGCTGTTTCACCCCCGGGGCCTTTGTCGTGAATGTTCCCCAACGGAGGCTGACTGTCCAGTAGAAACTGTACTGTTTCTAGCTGCGAATACTTGCAGGCAACATTTAACAAAACAATATCTCGTCTCTCAAGTGGTACTGCTTTATCCAAGTTGGCATGGTAATAAGCCAGCAGCACGCGGAGAGCGTCAATACATCCATCCTGCGTAGCCACAAAAAACACGTCAAGGCGATAATACGCTGGTTCTGGTTCCAGCCCAGTTTTCGGATGTTGCCCAATGTATTGCTTCAGTGTTTCAACATCATTACGACGGATTATCTCTTCCCGGAGGGTTTGATCTTCAGTCTCGTACATAATTGATCCATCCGTGTCACGAAGTCCTGAATCCCAGGAATCCCCCCTAAGCGTACTTGGATTGTGAAACTGACTAAACGACATTGTTCAAGCTTCTTGTAGTGTGATTGGATGGCTGAAACAGCAAACGAAAAGGGACAGGGAGGAAATGAATTGGAAAAGAAATGGGAAAGGTACGGAATGGTTAGCACTATTTATACCTAAAGTACATTACCTACTCCGGAGGGTTATGATAATTTCTTACTCTACCTTGAAGCCCATACAACTAGTAAATTGCCTTAACCAGGGTACAGACTCAACTAGGGAAGTCGGTGGACTGCCCCATGGACCTAGACCAAACCCCTGAGCCACGAGTTTACATAATTATTCCTTTTCGGTGTTTGGAAGAGACGGAGCCTCTAATCTATGGACGACGAAATAAATGTGGTCACAACTTTAGCCCCCACGGTTTCTGCTAGAACCCGATGTAGCCGTTGAACAGTACTCTACTCCGTTGAACGATCCGAGATTGCCGTGCACCGAGATGAACTAGGCACAGAGCCAGCAGTTTGTGGAGTTGATAGGGATCGATTTTTGTTAGACCAGGAGATGGGGTTTGTGAACACCACTAGTACAGAGTAGTCTCCGACACTTCCGCGGCCAACGAGAAACTCGCTTGGAGACTTGAAATCATTCCATCAGATATAGAGGGCTCTTCACATAGGACTACTTGAGTAGCAACCCCTTTACTATGAAGAGGACCCCCTTTTTCTTTCTTATTATTTATTTGTTCTTTGTAGAAATGGCATCTCGTACAGTCGTACTCCGTGCATGCCGCTCTTTCTTTCGCACACAAGCTTTAGCGGCTCTCCGACGTAACCAAACTAGCAGTATAGCACCCGAGACATCTTGATAGCTAGTATTCTGATAGTCGATAGACTAGAGCATCATTCCCCACTTGGCTCATCAAACTTTTTCCCTTGAGGTTGCATTTGCTGCTGTTAAGTGGACTCACAGTCCTGGTTGGATATATAACTAGCTGAATTGAAATGTCATGTAACATACTAGACTCTGTTGTAAAGCTGCTCTCGGAATCTTGTCCACTAAAATACTGTCCCTGTCAATCCACAAGAGGGGTCGCAATTTCCGTAAGGTAGTATTTCCGAATATGTCCTTAGAGTCATGACTATACACATGGATATAGCTGTGCTGTACCTGAATCCCTTTGAAATCTCCTGATCGAATATTGATCTATCAATACCCCTCTTTCATAATAATCCGTAAACCACGCAAGCTCCACCGTAATCAAACTCAGGTACGAACTATTTTCCTAGTCAACTAGAAAGGAAGGTCACTAAACGAATGCCCTCGGAAATAAATGCCTGATTCTGATTATTGTGTACTATCGCACATGGTTTCCTGCTATACCATTAATGCATGCCGTTTCCTGCTGAGAGTGTGTTGTTCCAAATAAGATCACCTCTGGAGCAACTGCCCTACTTTCTTCCACGAAGCTCACCATGATGATTGTTGGCCGGGAAAGGACCCTTGCAGTTCTTTGGTTTGTCGCCTCTTTCTTCGCTGAAGGCAATGCTTCACACCTGAGATCACACGAGCATCTTCATGCATCCCGACATCTGAGGCAGCGCAATGAGAACGTCAACCCGACTTTCTCTGGGGTTTCCATGTTCCCAGCGGGGTCCCTGTCCTACATGAACCTGATGCTGGATTGTGAGAATGCCCTGTACCAGAAGGTCAACTGTGACGATGCTGTTTCATCGCTGATGACCGATGGGTATATAAGCAGCTTTGATAACTCCACGCTAACGACCTTGGTGTGCGACGTAGGCTGTGAAGCTGCCATTGCGAAGCTACGTGATACTGTTTCGACCAACTGTGGTGAAATAACCGAACTGGTTCCAGGTCTTCCAATCATAGGTCTTGTGGACCTGCTTTGGAGCAATAGGAATCAGTCCTGCTTTACTAATCCCAATACTAGGGAAAATTACAATAGTAAAAAATTTCTACCGCCTTTACACATCATCATTCCTCGTCTTCAATGCTAACTCTAGTTCCAGATGTGATTGATGCTTTTCCTGACGTGGATATGTCTAAGCTTCCAAAATCTGACCTGTGCTCGTACTGTAACGTTAAGAAACTGGCTTTGATGCAGGCTAACACCTATACGGATGCCTACGATAATAACTAGCAATCCACATATAAATATGTGGCTCAAACCTATAACATCTCAGTCAGTAATTTCGATTCTACACCGAGTGCGTTCAATATGACTGTGCCATCTTCCACGTCGGATTGCGTGTCTAGAACTATATATACGACCAAGGAGAGCGACACGTACGATTCCATTGCGTTAGCACAAAGTGTATCTACAGCCACGATATTCTATACTAACCCTAATATCATCAACTGTTCTTCTATCTAGCCCGGAACCAATCTCTGCCTTCCACAGAAATGCGACAGCGTCTATATCGTGCAGCCGGAGGACACGTGCATTAATATTGCTATTAGTGCCGGAATCCGCACTCAAAACCTCATAGACTACGACTCTCAGCTGACCTGGAACTGCTCAAACCTGCACGCAACCAACCCCTACTGGGGTACGACTCTGTGCGTATCTACCCCTGGGGGGACATACACGGGCCATGCACCGAACACATCAACATCTACCGGGTCTGAAATTGTCAACCCACCCGCTGGCGCCAAGGTGGCCCCTGGCACCATGACCGACTATAGGGCGTGGTATATAAACGATGCGGGCCTCACCTGCACTCAAATCTGTCTCATAAATCAGATTACCATCAACCTCTTCACGGAGGCAAATCCCTCGCTCAACAAGACGACCTGCGATAAAGACCTGGTCCAAGGGAATTCTTACGGTGTTAATCCACTGGATGGTTGGAACTGGGGATCTGGGGCTAATTCCACCACCAGCCCTACACCCACCATCTCAGCGCCGTCTACTCCACCAGCACCAACCCAGACTGGCATCCCTGCTAACTGCAATGCCTTCTACGTTGCTAAGGGTAGGTTCTGAAGCCTCCTAGAGCCTTGTCAACTACATATGAACTAATAATCTTCTAGCTGGTGATGATTGTGGGACTGTTGCAGCCAAGTTTGGTATCACCAAGGGCCAATTCCATGAATGGAACCCAGCTATCTCATCGGATTGTTCAAGTGGATTCTGGGCCAAGGAGGCGTACTGTGTGGGTGTATCCGGTACTTCCAGTACACCAATCACAAGCATATCCGCGAGCACACCTACGTCTACCTCAGCGTCTACATTGGTAGTGCCTCCTGCTCCAACGCAATCAGGTATTCCTGCAAATTGCGATGCATATTACGTTGCTCAGGGTATGCTCTTCAACGTTCAACCGTAACCCTTTAACCCCTTGACTAACCATGCTCCAGCCGGTGATGACTGTGACACTGTCGCGTCCAAATTCCAGATTACAAAGGCTCAGTTCCACGAATGGAACCCTGCCATATCATCAGACTGTTCTAGTGGCTTCTGGGCTGAGGAGGCATACTGCGTGGGTGTATTCGGCACCAGCAGCGCAACATCCTTACCTACACCCAACCCAGTATCTACGGGCTCGGTGGTACCACCTGCTCCGACGCAATCCGGAATCCCCGAAAACTGCTCCAAGTATTACGTTGCACAAGGTATGTTTCGCCTCTTAAGTCCCTTATCATTCTTTCCATCCACCCCCCCCTTGCCCGATCTCGACCTGTTAATCACTTCAGCAAACCCGAACTGATCATTATGTGCAGCTGGTGATACTTGTGCGACTATTGTAGATAAGTTTGGGATTACCAACGACCAGTTCCATTTATGGAACCCGGCAGTCTCAGTAGACTGTGTGAGCGGGTTTATGGCTGATGAGGCGTACTGCATCGCGCTGTCGTAAAGAGTATTTGTGAGCTACAGTTTAGGTTTAACAACCGGTGTTGACTACCCTCAGTATCAATTCTTTGATTTTGAGTTGCTTCGCTTTGCATATCTATCTCTTAGATTCATTATCTAGATGAACTGGTACTCATCCTCCTGTATCTTCCCATAATTGCCAACTTTCCCCGAAATTATCATATTGGCCTATAGGCATACTTCGTTTAAGAAATCTGTTTATTGGTAATTTCATATATAGGCTGTCTCTACTGAGTAGTTGAGTCTAAAATCTCCTTGGGCTTGGATAATTTTACTGCGACTCTCTACCCGCGTTTATATGACTATGATAGGAATATGATTATTCATGAATAAATGAATAATTCATATTTATTCATATAATAAAATACCATACATAACCATTCATTTCATTACTTCCCAATACATCTACCAAGCTCAGATACGCTGGTCCATACAAGTTACATACGAGACAGTGTGAGGGATCAACGACAGATAGGAATCACTTGGCTGTACCTATGTGCTTCTGCCTTCCGTTTCCTAGCCCTACCTAGGCTTCTTAGGTCACGTTGACAAGTTTGCATCCCCCCTTGTCACTGCTGAAGACAAGCCCTCCCAACCGCCCAAGCCTGCAACACAGCCCCCAAGCCCACCACCCAGCCATTCTCCTTAATCCCCGTGCGAAAATACCACGCGGAACTCGCCCACAGCAGCGCATTAGTGATGATTGCGATGGCCTTGTTAGTTGGATCTTGGAGGGCCCGGGGGTTGCGGGACCATTGATAGTGAATGAGGCCTGTGAAGTCAGTTAATCAACTCTGTTTCTGGGGATAGAGTCAATTGAATGAGAATCTCAATATACAACATACTAGTCATGAGAAAAAAGGCGCTTCCCTAAGAATGGCATCGTTAGTATCTACGACCAAGTCTTTGTTTGGTTTCCTGCTGCGTAGTAAATACCTGGTACCAGCCAACAAGTCCACAGGCCCATGGCTTCGTGCCTGCGATAGGTTTGAATGTCGGCTCGGCGGTCCATTGTTTCCCTCCAATCTATATAGTTGGCTGAGGTTAGCTGCTGGCCTCTCCTGTCTGGTGCAAATTGGAGGGTATCTTTGTTCTGTGGGGTTGTTGGTTGCTATTATTGCGGTGGAGCAGCTGGCATGCCGTATGTCCAATGGAAAGGGCGGCAAATGACAAGGCCGAGGCCTGAAGTGAGCGAGAAGATGGTGTCATTTCTGGACTCTAGAAGGGTAAAGCTGACTTCGAAAACTGTTAGGACCGTTTCAGGCGTGGTGGACGTGGTGCTTTAGCTAGAATATATATAGAGAGGAAATGTTGATGAAGATGTATAGAGTCTTGAAAACCAAGTACTGTTAGTGAAATGAATCTCATGATACTACGGAGACCTGTCAGTATGATTGTTTATATAGACCATAGCTCTGGTCCGCGATAACTCCACCATACATTTGATCAGGGTCTGAGCTTGCTGAGATAAATTTGATCGTATAGTATACGAACCAGCCAATCAGCGAGCGTCACAGATGGGTCTCGGAAGACTGAGACGAAAATTTAGCGTGGCTTTTTATTAGTGCCATACTATATTATGCGGGTCTGACACTTGTAGAATTATATATGACTTGGGGACTGATGCATTATTTAATGATCTAACCCCATGTTGGAAAGCAACCACCCCCCATTTTGCAACGTCTGGAATACGCCATCCGGGTCATACTTTAGCGCAATCTCTTGTAACCGCTTGGCATTCTCCACCCCGTAGCTTGCCAGGGGGTCCTGGTCGCGCGAAGCATAGTTCGAATACAGGTATGGAAGATACACCCCGGCCTGCTTCGCCTCTGATTCCGCGGCATCGACAATCCTGCGCACAGCGTCTCGAACAAGCTCTTCGTCTTTCGCATTCTTCCAGTCGGCTCTCACAAGGAACCCTAAATAGCGTAGATTAGACCTGAGAAGGGTGGGTGGGGCTGGGGGAGGAATGTACACTGCTGTCCAACAGGCGTCAAGCCTAGGGGACTTTGGAGGGTCGCTTTCATAGCTGAGGAGGACATTGGTTGGATAACGGTTGTCAAGGTAATGCCCTCGACGTCTTTAAGAACATTGACCTGCTCAGCATGTGTTTTTTCAATAGCCCTGTATACGTCTAGGCTAGGCAGGCTGGTCATGGTGCGGAATTCGTGACTATAAGGGTTAGCAGGAATCAGGGGAAGAGTACGGGTTCCGGCCGGCATACAGTGCAGGCTCTGGATCTTGCACAGAATCTACTGCATTCATGAGATCATAGACGGTTCGGATACCTGGGGCTACGAAGCTGGTGACGTAGGGTATATCGTAGAAGGACTGGAAAATAGGAGGATACTCGACGGGCGCGCCGTAAAAAAAGACAACTAGGATAATGTCGTGAGTAGCATTATAGATGAGCGAAGACTTATCGTCATCTTCAATTGCGGCGTGATACTGCATCATGGCTTCGAGGACCTGATCGGTTGCCGTGATTGGGTAGATGCGGACCTCAGACCAGTGCTTGCTTGGGATGGTCGTCATATCTAACTTGGTTACGACCCCTAAATCGTAATTAGAATGCCGAATGTACCTAGAGATAGATGCAGGACATACCAAAGTTGGGCCCACCACCCTTCAGCGCCCAGAACAAGTCTGCATTCTCCTGTGCGTTGGCATTGACGATCTGCGAGTTGGCGAGAACGACCTGCTATAGTTAGCTGTGGCTCAAGTATATTTACATCGCGAACGGAGGGAATTCACTTCGTAGTTACAGATGCCCATCGCACTGACTCCATACTGATGGCTGTGAAAGGAAATCCCCCCTCCGAGTAGCAGACCAGACACGCCTACCGTAGTGACTCGACCACCGGTCACAGCCACCTCGTGCGCATCAAGACCGCGGTATACATCCAACCACTTTAGGCCTGGCCCTAGACCTACCATAGATTTATTCTCAGACAGCTCTAATTGCTTTAGAGCGCTTAGCGATATAACTACACCCCCATTGTTGCTAGTAAATCCCGGGTTTTGCAAATGACCTCCGCTCCTGATGGAGAACTTCACATTGAAGAAACGACATAATGCCAGAGCTGTAGCAACTTGCTGCGCTGACGCAGGACTGACAATGATATGAGGCTGGAGCCAGCAGTTGGTCGACCTGATTGCGTTAGTGATCATTCCCACGTGGTGGCTCGGAGCGTATAGTAGCATAGTACATACCATGGGGCTTGGCGCTGTGATTCATAACCATTTGACCCTTGGACTACGGAATCCCTGCCGAATAGCAGAGGGAAGGCTGTGGACACATAGGTGGCCCGTTCTCTGTCTTGTTCGATGTCGGAAAGGCCGGCAAAGCTCGATAGAAGAGCTTCGATTTCACAGATCGCCTCCCGCTCTAGGTTGAGCTGGTTTTTGAGAATTGCAGCGATCATCGCATTTATCGGTCATCAACACTCAATAGCATTCGAAGACAAATCTGAATTAACTTGAGAAAAAAAAAAAAAAAAAAAAAAAAAAAAAAAAAAAAAAAAAA